AAGGATATGATATGATCTTTCAACGAATGAATATGCATCTCCCACACTGCAAGTGTATTATGATAGAATGAAACACTTACAATTAAGTTGAAAAATATTTGTACGATGAAGATATAAACTCTAATTGTAAATAATATCAACTCCACATGGCTAGATATTCTAAACTACAACTTTATTTCCAATCTAACGATCGGAGGATCATAGTTGGGGTGCCTTGCTATCATCTAAGTAGTAAGAAATTCGAAAAATACCCAATGGAAAATAATCTTAACTGCATTGATAAAAGATAAAGCAAATAATAAGAACCATATCTAAAGACTTTCTTTAAATGAAATGGCCTTCACACCCTGTATTGACATATTCTAGTATTGAAAATGAAATTCCCTCTTCCTCTTCTATTAAAAATATCAAAAATGTGATACTATCACACAATAAGCTGATAATTTACCATTCATCGGTATTAGTTAATAGTAGCATGAGTAATCTCTGTATGAATTTAAATTTATTTTACTAATATTTTTCTTTAGTGTAATTCAAATTTTTCATTAATTTAATTCATATAAGCGCTACCAAAGAAATATGAAAAGATTCTACTATATTTTGATCTTAATTAAAACTGTCTAAATGACTTGTCATTATATATTACAAATTTATTTTGCTTCTGTTTAGGGGCAAGCCATTTTTCTTTAGTTGAAAGGATTAGTAAAAAATAAATTAAAAGTAGTTCTAGACCTTTGCTTATAAATAAAAGTTATAGGTGCATTAAATTTCAAAACAGTGTCTTATTGCATTTAAACTAAACTGGGTTAAACGATCAGATTCTAAATGCAAAAATTACAAACGGATCTGTATTTGGTGTGTACTAAATTTTGTATATATATCGTATTTTATATAAATATATATTTATTTTATATAAATATATCGTATTTTATAGTTACTTATACTTTTACTAAATATCGACTACATAAAATCGCGTGCTCTTGATAATACGCCATATTTAACGGCTAGAATAGCAACCGATGGATATGAAATTGAAACAAATGAAGTTGAAGAGGATTCAGCATTTGCACAACAATTCGAGAATATTAATGCAAATCAAAAAATTTTTAATATGACAGAATTGATTTGGTTGCCTGATATTTCATGGCCACAAAATCTTTGGAGAAATGTGAGCTTACCAAGCTGGCCGAATGTCTCTATGCCGCATATAACAACGCCCAGCTTCAATGGCTTTTATACATCAATGCATAATATAGTTACTGGATTGCAGGACTCTGCTAGTACGTTATATACGACTGTCGCTCAGACAATATCGAATCGTAAGAAGCCACAAGCCCAAAGTGGTTACTTTTTTCGACCTTTTGCAAATTTAACTTTTGGTTTAGGTTTCACTGTACATTTCCAAACGAATGGCAATTTTGGTTTTACTAAAATATATACACAAATTTATGGAAGATAGTTAAACGAGCTTTAACTGCTGTATAAAAGTATCTATGTTAGTATAAAATTGAAATAAATTTTCTTTTGAAACGACTTGATTATTCATTCTAAGCTATATATATATATCTTAAATAAAAAATGTTAAACAAAATTTTTTTAAAATATTTTAATATTGATTTTATAAATATGTAAAATAATATATTAAAAAATAAAATATATTAAAAAAACATATTTATAAAAATAAGAATACAATATTTAAAGTAATATTTAAATAAATAATAAATAAATAATAAATTGAATAAATAAATGTTCACTTAAAGGAAACTCAAGTAAACTTATTTATTAACCCATTTCGGAACACCGTGTGATGCACCACACGGCTAGCTTTGAATATTTTTTAATATTTAAAGAAAATTTTATCTATTTAAGGTAAAGATAAAGTGAAAGTAATCTTTTAAATAAATATTAAACTCTTCTCATTTATTTAAACTTGTTTTATTTTACTATATACTAACGAAATTTCACCGTAAAATTCCAAGTCTGAAATTGTTTGATATAATGGGTTAAGAATTTATTAACAGAACATTTTCATCTGAGTACAGATGCAAATAGAAGTGATATAGGCAATTTCTTTAAACAATCACATTAAGCCTGATGTGATTAGTAACCAAATTAAGGTATTCTCCAGGTAGGTAAGCTATATTTCATGGTATATGAAAATTATATAATGAGGTGAAATAATTTTAAAGTCTTGTGTTTTAAGTAATACCAATAATGAGTAGTTATTTGTGTATTTTATAACAAACAACAAATTTATTTGATATATTTTACAACGATTTTATAATTAATTTTGTATTTAAAAAAAATTGTATAGAATATATGATATTAAAGTATTTTTTAAAATTCTACCTAATAAATGTAAGTATAAATATTTTATGCATAAAGTATATGCATATAATTTTGAGAAATGATACTATAAAATGAAGCATATTTCTCAGATACTTTTTATTTAGTTTGTTACGTAAATAGTTTTAGTACATTTTTAGGCTTGAATTTAGAAGTAATATATTATGGAATGTAATATATAGTTTTAAAAAAAATATTTGATGTATCATGAATGAATATTTAAGAGTTTTGTTATGTTAAAAACTAATTAAACACGTACTCAGTGTCATTTGTTTATAAATATTTATAATAAACTTTGTCATCTTTTAGAAAAATATATGATTGCCATTAAGATCATACTAACATGTCTCCATAACTAAAAGATTTTTCATTATATATCAACAAACGAAAGTGTGCCAACTGGCAGCTGGGACAGTGAAAATATCCAAGTAGGTATCGAAACATCACGAAGATTCAACGAAATATCGTGATCTACACACTATTGTTCAATCACCTAATCAGAGCATTTTCTACGCATTGCCTGGTCTGCTGGCTATAGATATGGTTTTAATATTAACTGAATTTTAGGTGGATTGATACTTAAGTCATCATGTAAATTACTCCCAAATATTATATAGGAAAATCATAATATTGTCCACGTCGTTTAAGGGATATAATAGAAACATATCTTATTCTATTTTTAGTTATGCACATTTTTCGATAACGTCTAATTCTCAACTGTCTGGATTTATTTTAGTTAAATTTTTACACAGTTCTCCTTATAGCATAGTATGCTCACATGTGCTATTACAACTATAATAAACTCGTCATAATTATTATTATCATCTTTGTATTAAGTATTGTACTCAGTGAGCGATTATAATTATTATAATCCCCTCATACTGTATAATATATATCTGTTGCGAAATTTTTGTAGTAAATTTTCACAATTTTAATACCTTTATACTGTGCGGCAAAAATAAAATTTATGTATGTATCCTTCAAAACCTCAATTTTTGAAATTTAACTCTTTATTGTTAGAAAACAGGATGTGCTTGAGAAAAATGGGTTCCAGATTTAAGCTTACCTTCAAATAAACCAAACACTTTTGAAAAATTCTCAAAAAGTTTTGTTTTCGTATATTAAACAATTCAAATCTTGAAGTAAATGAGTGGTAGCAGATCTTTTTGATGTATGTCACCAAAGTAATGCTTAAAAATTATGAATTAGATAATATCGTTGGCCTGAACATTCGCGTCTTTAGTGCCGATTTTCCAACTTAGAAAAACGAGCGAAAAAAATGGATCCTGCGGTAAATGAAGACAACAGAGTACTTTTTGTCAACAAATAAATTTCCTGAGCATTTTAGGATCTACGTCCTGTTGACAATTATATATTGAAAGTTGTGAAAGACTTTGTTTATTTGGGACCCAACGTAAATACCGAAAGTGACTCAAGTCTGTAATAGTCAACTAAGTGAGTAGATCATGCTGTACATTTGTAAAGCAGGAACTCATTTATTCAATTTGGACTGTTTAGCTTAGCTTTCCTAATATATTGTTAATAAAAGTCATGACCAATAATAAGCCAATAATAATAATAATAATAATGATATATTTTGATAGAAAATCAACTATTATATTCTTTAACTTCTACGTATTTAGTAGTGCCGTAGTGCTCTTTTAAGAACACAGAACTCTACAATATTCTAATCTATTTGATTCTAATTCGAAAATTCTCTTAATCGTTTGATATGAACTATGCATTTAGTTTCTTTTATTTACTTTAGTTGTTTAGATAGAGGAAGGATGTATCGCTTGGCTTAGCGATAGGTTATGCTTAATCTCTGCCAAAAGAAAGTGTGTCTTCTCGCTAGATATGAAAAAGTTTGCAGGTCTACACTGATATGGTATCTCAATAAGTACTATGCAATTTATTTTTTATTGCAATCATCATTTAGTATTCAATTCGTTTTCTCAAAAATCAATAATTGTCACTAAAAATGATGAGATATTCGTTAAAGATTAGTTAAAGAACTAGTTTTTCTGTCACACTTTCCAAGTGATAATTTTTAATAATTTCAAGAATTAGTCAGAATTCCATAGAGATAATTCCAAAAGCTTTTTGCTTATTGAGCTGGAACAGTATATTGGCTTTTCCTGCAAATTCCATTTATTAAACAAATAAACCAAAGACAATAGCAATTCACACGTATCGTCTCTCTAAGCCGCTTCATTAGGATGCGTGTCACGTGGCGCGTACTGGTAACTTGGCAACAACAACAACAATTAATCCAAAAGAAAAAAACTAAACTAAGTAGAAATATTGTCAAAAATAATGTTTTTTTTATTGTTCACTAACATTGCATAATTCACTGACTGACGCTTCCAATGCTTAATTATTGCCTTTCGACTTTGGGCCGTTTTTGGTTAAATTTCTGGTTGTACTTGACACGTGCTAATTATTCGCTTATGCATAATTATTCCGCCTTAGTTTGGATGGTAGTCAAGGAATTTGTGGAATGCGTATGCTAAGCCAAGGTTCTTGAATACCACATTATGTTACTTAATGGTTTACTATAAATGCTGGCGGTAGTTCACAAGTGATGACAGTAAACACTTGAGTTCGTTCTTGGTATCACAAAGCCTAAGTCGTCTTAAACTAAACACTTCAAAATGTTCAAATATTTCGCAATTGTTTTGGTGGCCTGCATTGCTTTTGTTGCCGCTAAGCCTGGATTAGTAGCGCCTTTGGCATATTCGGCACCTATCGTTTCTGCCGCACCACTTGCATCAGCTGTGTACTCGCGGGAATATCACGGAAATTTCGCTGCTCCTTACGTAGCTGCATCACCATATGTTGCTTCACCATACGTTGCTTCACCATACGTTGCATCACCCTACGTAGCTGCATCATATGCTGCACCTTACACCGCTGCTGCATACACTGCTCCTGTCTTGTTGAGAAAATAATTGTACCAAGCGAATATCTTGTATTGGATTGTGATGGCTGAACGATGATATTTGGACTATGTTGATTTTCGGGTTAAAAAAAGAATATTATAAATGAAATTGAAAGGCTAATAAAATAAAAACAATTTCTTTAACATGAAAATATCTTCTTTTAATAATAATAGTGTTTCAACTTAATGAATTTCTTATTAAAACCTTTCTTTAATCTAGGTTTAAATAGTCAGGTTTTCGATTTACTTTAATAGTTATTACTAGTTAAAATTAATTTCTATGTAGTTCATCATATTATTCAGTAATATAAAAATATATCAAGCATTTTTCAAAAATATGTCATTACAGCAAGAAGTATTGCACTTGGTTTCGAACTTTATACAATCGAATTCTTCCGTTCTTATCTTCCAAATCTTTTAAAATAATATTTTTTTTTTAATTTATTTTTTTTATATATATTATAATTGTTTTCCCACTTCTTCCACTACATCGCTTTATGTTATTATTTACTTATTTCAAACTATATGCTTTACTGCACACTTAAAACAGATTTTCAAGGTTGTTATATCTTTCCATTCCAGTCGAGAATTTTATATAATTTTACCCTTGCCCTAGGTCCGCTGCATTAAATATATTTGCGATTCTCAACTGTTTTTATTCTTTTTGAACAAAGAAATTGTGAATGAATGAAAAATTATAAATAATAAGAATAATCCATTCTTATCAGAACTCTAGCATTATGTAAATGAAAGAAGTACTTTTCAAGAAATATGAAAACACTCTACTACAAAGTTCGAATTTCGCGAGTTTGATAAGAAAACTGTACTGCATTCTTATCATTGCAATGGTTTATATATATAAATGAATTTAATGGAATAAAGAAACTTATACTATTATTATTTTTGTTGAAAAGATTAAATTTTCAGAGTTCTCTGCATAAATATTTTATTGACTTAATAATTTGTAGAGAGATTTTTCGAACAGTAGTGAATTACAACAACAAAATTTCATTTTATATTATTTTAATTAATTGAAGTTTTGGCTGACCATACAGCTGTTTTGAGTATTGTCAAATACCTATCATCAGTGGTCTTGGAAATAAGTCTTATATTTAATTATTCGTAAATAATTTTTTGAGACTGCAAGTACCAGGAATCGAATTCGTGCCCTGCCAAATTTGAAGCTTAGAGTCAGCGTTCATTACCCAACTAACCCAAAACCGTACTTGATTTTTATATTCGTACATTTTTTTGTAGTTTTGTTAATTTGCTATGAAAGTTTTATTAACAAATTCCCTTGCTGTGTTTATATTACAACGAAATCATAAACCAACTATAGAATAATTGAATTAAGTAATTATATATTTTTATATATGGTATATAGAATGATTTATATATTTTTTCTTATGTTTTAAAATTAATCTAGGAACGTAATGTTGAGAAAGTCATGCTAATGTTACTCCACGACTAATTTGTTGAATTATAATTTTTTTGCTTTTAAAAGTAGTAAATATATTGATATGTTAGAGATTTATCACTTTTGGGGATTTACGTTCTCAGGCACCGCTCAAAGCTGCTGATATATATTCCAATAACATGTCAATTCGATTTGGATTACTAGACTATTGAAATACAATATTTTTCAAACTGTAGTTGAAGCAATCCGAAGGCAGCTAAGATGGTAAGTTATAATATAACATGGAATATAGACAATGGATAGTTACAATATTAATCTCTATTTTATTGAATCACCCAACTCTCAATTACCATAATTAAGTAAAGCAAAGTTAAGTTCTCTTTTGATTTGGGTTTCAAGTAACATTTATATTGCAAGAAATTGTAGGGCTGATGAGCTGGATAGATGCGATACAAATATTTCTGATAACATAATAATATGAATTATACAAATTTTCGTATCTTTTTTCAATATGTATAAGAATAGTTGTTTCAATAAAAATTAATGGGATGAAGGCGTATAAGAAATGATCAAATATTTATTATCTCACTATTCGGCTTCCTCCAGACAAGGAACTGATTTCTCAGAAAGATTTCTACTTAGAACAATTGACGTTCAACACAAGTCGCAATTTTTTCTTTTATAGTAGCAAAAAAATACTCGCACGTTCGGCGGTTGTTAAGTGTTACATATAATAAAATGGCAAAATTCTATGTAACTTTATAGTATCTTGAATGACAATTGTATTTGACATACGTCACTGAAATAGTACTATAAAAGTAAGTAGTTCAGTTTGATCAGTCTCCGATGTAACATATATACATATAGCATAGAATATTCTGTTACTAATGTACTTTAATTATTTCTTTCTTCTTTAATTATTTCTTTGTTCATTATTTAGAATGAAATTTAGCAAAGTTTTTGTGCAGTATGGACTTCAAATGAGTATATAATACAGTACATAGAAGAAGTGAAAGTTGATGAACAGGGGTTAATAAACAGATCTATTATAGATTAAAAGTTACTACGAAATTGAACCACGTGTTTAGTAGATAATAATCTACTAATAGTATGTGTCTGAGAAAAAAATTTGTTCTGCTCTCGTTCCATTACACATAATATAATTGTTATCCAATCCCTAACACTTAAAATTCTTTTAGTCTTCTACTCTGAAATAATAACCGATGCCGCCAGTCAGATTGACACATTAAAACTAAAAAAATGGATTTTTCTCATAATATTTCATTATTTTCTTCAGTTTCTTATCACTTTCTTTAAGAAACGGAAATGTATGAAAATTATTTATGAAAAATTGATAAAAAAACTACTCGGAACAAATTAATGCAAAATGGATCAAATCTCGTTTAGTTGTTTAAAGGCGCTTCAACGAATGCATTCGGATATATTAAGACGCGTTAATTCTCGAGGATATCTAAAATGAACTTAAGAAAAATTGTGCTATTATTTTTGACATTTTGCATATGCACTGTGAAATGCCAACAAGATTTGTCACTTGAGTGTGATGAAATCGACAGTGAGGATTACTATGATGTTGAAAAACCGTTTTGTACAATTAGTAACTTTAAAGTAAATCATAATCAAAATGTGAAAATTCGCAATTATTCAGGCTGGGTTGTTAGTTCTATAAAATTCATGAAATTCTACGAATCATCGCTGCTGTATATACCTTTCAAATTATTTGAGGAGTTCCCGCATTTACAAACACTGGATGCATCTGCAACACAGATTTTAGAAATAACCCGCAACACATTTAGTTCGGCTGGTAACTTAACCTTTCTCAACCTCGCTGGTAATGAACTGACCAAAATCAGCACTTCTGTATTTGTGGGAGCCAATAGTTTGCTGCGCTTGGATTTGTGCCACAATAAATTAGAGGAGTTGAGCGAATTTTCTTTCAATGGCTTAAAGCACCTCAACTCAATTATGTTATGTGCCAACCAGCTTAAAGAAATTCCGAGTTCTCTTTTTAAAGATAATCTCTTCTTAAACGTCGTCCGTTTGGAAAACAATTTACTGGAACATATTGCACCAGAAGTATTTTACGATTTGTTTCTTTTACATGAAGTGAATTTGATAGGCAATAAACTGCGAACTATCGATCCTAATACATTTTACCGGTCATATAGTTTAGATGATCTGTTTATTTCAACAAATCGTTTTACTGAATTTTCTTTATCCAATAAAAGCATAATGCGTCATCTGGAAATTAATGAAAACAATCTGACTTCGATTTTTATCAATGGTACTAAATTTGTGCATGCAGAGAACAATCATATTTCTACAATACATATGATTAACTCATTATTTTTGGAGAGTTTATTTCTGGCTCACAACAACATAAGTGATATTAAAAATATAACTAAAGCTTCCGGGTTACTAGAACTTAGTCTATCCCACAACAAAATTGGACAGTTAAACATAACTACCTTTGACAATTTGAAACGTTTACGTAAACTAATTTTAAGAAATATTGGATTGAAGTATATTGCTTTCGGCATGTTTTCCAAGCAAGTACATCTAGAAGTACTGGATCTATCTTTCAACAATTTGACTACTTTAAATTTAGACATTTTTGTACCATATATGATAAATCTTGTTCAATTCTATGTGGACGGTAACAATTTAACCGAAATACAAGGCAAACATAGCTTCGCTATGGCTTTCCAAAATCTATCAACACTCGGCATATCACAAAATCATTTTAACTGCTCATATTTGCACATGATACTAATATCTCCATTTTTGCAATCAACAGTTACTTTGCATATAGAACCGGACTCTAATAATGAAGAGAGTTCACATATACGTGATATATCATGCAGCAGTAATATAACACAATCACTTCAAGAAGTGAAAGGTGAACTGAATCACGTTAGTGGCCTCTACGATCTTATGCAGGAATCTTTGAAGACACAACGTGCGAATGAGCAAAAGTTGGCGCTACATTTGCTTCTTATGAAAGTTGCACTTTGGCTGTTAATTAGTGTGGTTGCTGGCATTGGAATAATGCAGTATATACGTCATCGGCGTAAGAACTATATCCTTAGGCGCAATAACAGTATTGTTTTCAATTCTCAAGCCACGATTAGTACAGTTAATCACATAGATCACTGATGTGTTACGATAAGGACTAAATAATAGGTTAAGAGTTTAAGTTTAATGGTATTATCGGATTTATAAGTATATTAAGAACATTCATAGAATGATTGAATACATAAATCCGAAAAACGGAAAAATTCAATTTGCAAAAATTTTGTTGGTAAAATAATTTTAGCGAAAAAAGTTTTTAATAAAAATTGTTTTTTAAAACAAATAATTTTTTGATTTGAAACATATCAGTTGAGGACATAATGAACTTGCTTGAAAATTTGTGAGGTGAGAAACTTTCCATCAATCAAAAAATTCGATGAATATGTTTATGATATAAAAGTCTTGTTTTTCTTATCAAAACTCATAACCTTACTAATAATTACAGAACTCCAATGTTTTTATTAGTATCAAATTACTGCAAATAGGAAGACAGTTTCTTTAAGAATAAATTAAAATCGTAGGTCCTACATTTCCCACCTCAAATAGGTGGGAAATAGGATTACATAATAAAATTTTTATTTTTTTTTTAGTAGAACATAGCTATTTACTTAACACTCCATTATTTTCGGTTTTAAGAGCTAAAATTTATTATTAGGATAGGGATAGGAATATCTCTATCCCTATCTCTGAGGTCTCTGGTTTTCATTATCTATGTATAAGATAAAATAATGTTTGCTTTAATATGTGCTATAATAAAATACAGCCGTCTTTTATATATTTTCATGTTATACATTTCAAAGCTTAGAAATTATATTTAAATCAGTATACTAGAACTTTTACTTTGGGTGGTATATTTAAAATTGGTTCTTCTAGCAGACACAACATAGTAACATAGAGTAATGTAACTTTTACATAAATTTCCCAAAAACGTTTCAGAGATAAGCTAATAATTTATTTTACTTAACTACAGGTGAAGCATCGACACCGTTCTATATATAGTCTACTAATTTAAATGTGGCAAATAGTGTTCTTTTTTTGATTTTGACTTGGTCACAAAGCTGCGTTGTCTGTTTCCTATGGATTTCAGTGGATATAACTACGCCAATGCTTCACTTAGTTAAGAATTATAAGACTAGATTTGGCTGTCATCAATTAATTCTGTGTTAGTATTTCTAGGTGCTACCTTGTTTTCAGAAATCGTTTAAGGTACCTTTTATACAGAATCAGTTTAATCTGTTACGATATATTTTTATATCTTAGAGTCGTATCGATTTCTCATGTAAATTGCACATGAGGACCTTAGTTTAAGTGATTATTTAAAATATTTTTATATAGACTGAAAGAAAATTTTGTCAGAAATGTAACATATATATGAGCTGTAAATTTTTATTTTATACTGTTAATATTTTATCGTTTCTTTAATATTAATAGAAGTAGTCCCCGAATGATGATTTTTTACAATAAAATTTCTTTTTCGTTTTAATGTCTTTCTTTGAATTTTTTTTTGTTCACTCAAATTGATCTACGACGTCTTCAATCAACTGTTGTAGAACTATATAATTGTTGTGAAGGAATTCCCAAAAAAGAGTTGTTGTCAGAACACATCTTTATTTATTTGTTCAGTTATTTTCATAGTTTTAGATTTAAGTTTTTAAATTCAAAGCACGTAGGTTTTTTTAATCTTTGACACCTCGATGTCATTATTTATGTAAAAACTAATAAATAAAAATGTTTGATACGATCACCAATTTAACTATGATGATGAATACATATTTCTAAATAAAATTAAATTTCCATTAAAAATTGCATTGATAATTTTTAATTCAGCTGTAGAGCGAATCATAGTAAACCTCCAGATTGTCATTAAGAACGTGCTTAACATATGTTGACCTAATTAACCGACTTGGATAGCACATACAAATAATTAAAATTAAACCTAATAAAATAAAATTTATATAAAAATAAGAAACAAAACTACTATCGATTATGACGGGTATACGACACCCTTCACACAGTAAGTTTTTTAAAATCATTTATCTACTACAACCTAACCTATGTGTTTTCTAAACTATTTCTTAACTTATTTTTAGGCATAAACTATAATTTATTTGTGTATGAGATGTAGGATTTGAAATTGAAAGAAAATAAATACTAATAAGTCACAGGTTTTTTCTGTCCGATTGATTATTCTGACGAAAAATGATATTCATCGCAAGACCATATCAGACACTACATTCTTGAACTATTATTTTCCTAAATTCCTAGAATTAAGATTTGCTGCTAAGACTGTAATTAATCTTGGCTTATCAAGTCTATATGGATACTTTAAAATTTTTTCTCAAGAACATCTCATCGGCAGTAAATTACCTAATCAATAAGAAACAGACATAGCTCGATTTCTAAAGGTAATATAACTATCGGAAATGTACTTTATGAACATGTGTCATGAGCTATTTGAAATTAAATATAAAACATGTATGCATAGTTACCAAATAAGGTGGTGGGTAGGATTCTGTTCTAAGCCTCATGATACTGTCATCATGATTTAACGGGGTGACTAAACCATCTTATTAGCCTCTTTACAGCATTAAATAGTGTAGTTTTCAACATTCATCGGTAACTGATAGATTAGTTTGGGTCTTCTTTACTTCAAATGAAAAAATATTTTTTTTAAATACATTTTTAAAAATAATTTAAATAGCAATGTGAATACAATTCAACATAGAAATATTTTTACTGAACAGATATTTTTGTTATATAGAAAGTATTTACGATTTTTAAAAATAGATATTTCTAAGAGGCCATCTAGTGGCAAACACATGCCACACAGTAAAGCCTATACTGACATACTCATACATATTGTTACACATATTAAATATACCTCTGTTACCCATATTTGTTATTTATCCATTCAGTTTTATTTTAATCGTATATCGACTCTAAATCACTTCATTTCACATAATTTACATTTGGAAAATATGTGTTTACACTCATTACTTCCGTTTTATTTGATTTGAAGTTGCTCTCAAGCTTTAGAGTTCAGTCCAATTCACATAAAGGACGATTTTTGACTACTATGGGACGTTGATATAGTTAAATGTTTTTCTTATCTCTGAAATAGCGATCAATCTGGTTAGAAAAAAATCTAGTGAAATTATCGAGATATAAGATTCAGCTATATAGATAGTAAGTATATAGATAGGTCACTGTCGGTTAGATAAGTATATATTTTAGCATATTTACTTTTTTTTAGCATTTTGAAGAATCAATAATAATTATATCATTTCTGGTATTAAAAAAACATAACCTATATGTACCCAACAACAATAACACGAAATTAAAGTTAGGAAAGCATTTTAATAAAACAAAATAATTTTGATCTGATTATAAATGGAGTCATGGAGTTGGATCCAAGTATAGAAGCAGCTAAAGAAAAATGTAATACCAACATCAAACATGAACTACAAAAAATTTTCGCATAAATGATAAAATAATAAAAAATCTATCTAAATCAATTTCAGTTCAATTGATATTAATTCGAATAAAAATATTGGTCTATCTGGGTCAACCAGATTTTTGCCAAATTTTTTGGCAAATAAATAGTTTCTTTGTTCGTATGGAAGTCAGTTTAAAATTTTACTCGGTTAGCTTATAAAAAGGCATATAGATAAACCCATAACTTCACAAAATCGATCCATTTCATGCTGATTAAAGATGCGATGTTCATCATCTCCTGCACTGCGTTACAAACCTTTGTGCAAACTCAACATATCTCTTCGTAGAATTTGAAGAGTGAAGAAATAAACAAAAGTTGATTTCCATAAACAATATCTTAAATTTTCGGGCACGTCTTCGATTGTCATTGCCGCTCTTGGCAACGACTTTTGACTACCTGCGCTTCTGCATAAATTTTTTTCGCTTATTTTGCACATCTACTTTGCTTTGGTGAACTGCAAACAGAAGCAGAGCAGGGGTAGAACTTTTAAAAAAATTAAAATTTTTTTTAAAATTTTGACGGACATAAGCCAAATATTTCAAAAAAACTATTTTAATATGAAAAGTATAAAACGGAGGCACCAATTTGTGGATGTGCAGTTTAATTATTGACTTCAAATTGTAAACAATAAAAATACAACAAAACAACACAATGTACAAATCGGTAAAAAAACTTTATTTAGAATTCATTATTTTTATTTATTTTATTTAAAAAAAAAACGTTTTTATAACGCTTAAATTCTTTTTAATACCTTTAGTTCGTTCTTTTCGCTGTTCTCGCCTTTGCCTGCTGTGTTTATGGTAAACCCGCAGTAGTAGCCTATAGTGCGCCAGTTGTTGCTGCTCCTGGAGTTGTAACTGCCACAAGTTCGCAGTATATTGCACGTAATTTCAATGGAGTAGCTGCTGCACCAGTAGTGGCTGCTGCATATACCGCCCCAGTTGCCGCTGCTTACACTGCTCCAGTCGCCGCTGCTTATACAGCTCCAGTAGCTGCTGCCTACACTGCTCCTGTTGCCGCTGCCTACACTGGTCCAGTTGCTGCCTCTTATGCATCATACTATCCTTATGCCGCTAGCTATACTACAGTTTTGTAATTTTTGTGATTTTCTATAGTGATTTTGATTATTGATTCTCTCATTGCTTGTACCTGAATGGATTTCGTGAATGTTTAAAATAATTATTTAAAAATGTGTATTTTTGAGATAAATAAAAAAATAATAATTTAAAAAAAAAACTATTTTTATTTATAATATATATAATCTTTGCTAGTTATATATACTTTTACTTTATACATAAATTCTATGATTAATGATATATATAAATCTATACTGGCTCATATACAATTATTTGTAAAATGTTGGCTTTAGGATTTTAAAAGCAGTTATATGTAATATAATAGTAGTCTGAACTTATTGATCTTGAGAAGTAATGATTAAGGATTTAAATATATACTGATTCATAAATATTTGCAAAATGTTGGATTTAGAGTTTTAAAAGCAGTTATATATAATACAATAATAATCTGAACTTATTGATCTTGATAAGTAATGATTAAGGATTTAAATATATACTGATTCATAAATATTTGTATAATATTGGCTTTATGATTTTAAAAGTAATTATACATAATACAATAGTAATCTAAACTTATTGATCTTGAGAAGTAATCCGTTGTTAGGATCAGATCCTTTGAAATGAGTCTTAAGATTGCCATTTATAATGAAACAATGCACATGTTATAACCAATTTTAGAACATAAAATATAATATATATGGATACATTCCTGCATATCAACATTTCTATTGATTATAGATTAAACCAACTGACAATGTACTCGGATATCTATCTGTGATTAACAAATTGAAATATTTATAAGTCACTTATTGATATAATTTTTTATATATTTTATGTTTGGTGACAGTTAAAGTCAAATATAAAGTTCACATATGAATCGCAGTTTATCGAGAAACGCATTTCGGATATAATATACCTGATATATTTATGTATATGTTAAATAATCTACAATTCATAGTTGTTTCCAACAACACAATTAGATCTATATGAAGTCGCGGATTTCCAGTGCTACCAACTTATTACGCGAAAAAGGGAATATTCTGAAAGAGGAAAAAGTACTTGCTAATATTTTTTGATATGACAAGAGCATATTGTAGGTAGAAGAGTGTTGCATAATATTTAAAACAAACTATAAAACATATGGATAAATCTAATATCGTCAAATTTGCTTGCAGAACAGCAAATCTTGAAGAGTTATTAGAGCAGCAAATCTTGAATTTGTAAGTCTAAAGCTTCTCGAATAGTTGACTTGAGTCATGCATATGGTAAATGGCTCAAATCTCTTCCAACAATGAATAGTTGTTAAGGAATTTACTTTTTCCAAAATTTCTTTGGATGAAGAACATGTTAGCATTATTTGTAAGACCCTGTATAATATATATAGGTATATTTTTTTTCAATAATTAGTTTTAATTCTAAACATTCTTGCTCTAAAAACCGGTAACAATTGAAATTTACATTTTTATTATTTTTAAAACAATTGAGGAAGAAATAAAATAGATTTGTTTCACTTTTTTTATTTAAATTTTTTATTTATTTTAAAAGCACATTTGGTTAAATCAGCAATGTTTTGTAATTTCATTTTAGAAATGGATGTGTCAATGGAGCAGCAGGAATTATCGGTGCTGCAAGAGGAACTGGTGCTGCAACACGAATTGGTGCTGCAACATTTGTCGGAAGAACTCGATGCTGTACTGTATGGCCAATAAAATTTCCGGTGAAAGGCTGGGTAAATGCAGTTTGGTAAATAACAGGATATGCAGGAGCTGCCGGTACAGGCTGTTGAGGCGTTTGAGGTTGAGGTTGTGGTGCGACTGCTCGATGTGCCGGCGGAACATCGACTGTTTCCGCAGCATCGGTTATATCGCCTGGTACAGGAACAGCAGCAACATTGTACACAGCCATCATTACCATTACAGTCGTCATCTGAAATTTTTCTATAGCGTATATTCGAATGATTTAAATTGTTGGTGTTCTTGTGGTTGGTGTTTCTGAGTCCAAAGGAAGTGTCACTTGTTACCCTCTTGTTACTTTTACGAGTATGTTTTCTTTTTGTTGTGTCATGTTTTGCTAAGAGTTTATTTGGCGTTGAAAAACTTACAAATTTCATTATTTGATTCATAATAAAAATTAAATTTTCTATATTAATTTATAATTAAAATAATTGATTGTTTAGTTTTTGAAATGTTACAGAACACCCAGAACTGCTGAATATCTAATATACAATAATTCTAAATTCTTAGTTTTCCCATTTTTATAATATCGGCTACAAAATTTTAATGAGGTAGCCTTACGTTATTGTAAATAATGTATTTATTTATTATTGTATTTATTACGAACAGAGACTCACAACCTTTTCTATAAAGAAGAATTTACATTTTTTTAATAATTATACATAAAAAAAAAATTAATTAAAAAAATTTACGTGTTTACATATTACATATATGTGTAGATCGACATTCCTAAAGTTACTACAGTTACAGTCCTACAGTTACAGTAGTACGCTTATAATGAGGCAGAAAACATTGTATACTATTTACTTTTAAAAATATATATGAGAGGTTTCTACGGATTCGGATTCGGATTCGAATAGCAAAAAAGACAAGGACAAAAATTTATTTAATTTATTGAAATTTGACTGACCATACAACGCTGTTTGTAGTATTACCAAAGGCTCATCATCAGTGGTCTTAGGAAAAAATCGAATTTAATTGTTTATAGTCCGTATATAATTTGTTTGGACTGCAAATGCCAGGCTTAGAACTCGTGCCTGTCAAATTAGAAGCGGTAACTAATCGTGTTAATTATTATTAATTACCTGGGGTCCGTTGTAAAATCACTGAGATAAAATAAGATAAAATATCTTACCTCTTCAAAACAATAGAATCGAATCATGGTACTCGTTTCAATAAAAAAACCTATCGACTTTTTAACTCGACTATGCCCAGTTTTTTGTCTAGAAAAGTCGGTCAACGAAGTTCGTTGGTAGAAAAATAAAATTACCGTACTTTATGTATATCTTCACGCAGAAAAGACCAGAATAAAACAAATTAAATTGTGTAAATAGATCAAGAAGCCCTATAGCTTTTTAAAATTTTGGTATACTTTGTGTATGACATATAGCTGATGTTAACAAAAATTAAAAGTCAAACAGCAAAACCTAATCAATGTAACTGAAAAAGAATTATTCAGGAAGCAATAATCGTGCAAGAACAGTATTAGCTGTAGTTTGAAGGCAAAAGGCTGTTTTTTTATCACGGTATCCAATAGCTACTGACACATCATTATATATAAACATCAATTTAATATTTAGTACGCTAATTTATATACGTAGAGAAATCTTTTTTTCAGCTAGACAGATCTGAGGCTGCTAATGGCCTAGAAAATCATCTCGGTCATCATTCGCCCTTTACTAATATGAAACTACCTGACGTGATAGACTGTTGTTGCTAGCTGGATGGGGCAAATAATTCTTCTCACATATTATGTGACTACTCCGATTCACAAATATATAAGTACATGAGGGGTGAATGAAACCACTGATAATTGCATTACATTTAATATGTTTACTATAAATATTCATTCATTTTCAATTCTCTTTTCTATTCTCTTTTATATTCTTTTCTATTTTTTATTATAAGTTTCTGTATTTCGATTATTAAAATAAAATTCAAGCAGAAGATACGTTTAGAACTAAACAGATTTTGTATATTATAATAATATATTATATATATTAATATTAAAAATAATTAAGATAATAATATATTATCTTATAATAATATGGAATATACATTTTATGCAATTCTTATCAATAAAAATTTATTATTATATTTAAATTAAAGTTAGATTTTATTAAAAATATAAAAGTAATAGAATAAATTTTTACTTAAGCAGACACTCGTCGGGGCCCAACCCTTGTTTGTTCCTGAAGTGTTTGGGATTATAAGCATTATTGGGATTATTCACGAAGAGAGGTGGCTGTTCTCAAGAATATTATTTTTCAATGTATTGAAATATAAACTAGTATATATATAAATATATTTACATGATTTGAGTAAGAATTTAATTTAGAACGTTTGTTAAAAAGATTGTTTCTGTATGAAGCAACACAGAAGCTAAAATACTGAAATAAATATTAACTTTTATTGAACAAAGAAATAAGTGCAGGTATACTTTTCCTTATCAAATCATTTCAAAAATGATCAGAAGAACGTGATGTATATATAAATAAATCCTATTAAAAATTTGTGAAACGCTGTTACACTAAATCGAACTTTAGTTTTTAATTTAATTTATATTCAAGTCAATACCTCGCAGTGCAATTAAAAGTCGTACATATTTCTATCAGCTTGAGTAAATAAAAATATTTTTAAACATCTTTTTTATTTTTGGACGTAATACCGATTTAATTAACATAAAGTTACGCTACCTAGAAGTAGGTCTTAAAACGAATGAAAACAAAAGTCCATTAAAATTTTATGCGTAATACTAGAAAGATACTTTTGTTACCTTATTTATTTATAAGTGCATAAATATATAAATATAAATGATATTAAAAGTGTTAAAATATTTTGCATTGAATTCTGAATGCCTTTGATGTATGTGACCATTAGCTTCAACCTTTGAGTCAATAAATTGATTTTTTATTTTTTTTTTTTAAGTTACTCATATGCAAAACTATTTCAAAAATTGGCAGTAGAACATGACAGTAGATGCATTGGCATGAATTTTAATTAAGTTGAAATTAGTATGAGACGATTCCTAGGGTTTCATATAATTTTGAAGGTTTGATTCGAAATATTTTGTATATAAATTCACTACAAAATATGAAGTAGGCAACAGTTTTCATAGAACTTCTTCAAGTAATCAACTGAAACATAAAATTGAAATACAAAATGTTCAAATTCGTAAGTGCCTAAGGATTACTTAATAGTTTAAAAAGGATTTGAAATAGTATTAACTAAAAGTGAAAAATAAAATATGATTATTAATAAAAAAAATTAAAGAAATTATTAAATCAAGTTAAAAAAATTAGTAAAATTAAATTCTTTGATGAAGTGTGCTATTAAATATTAACTTAAATTTAATAAAATAAATATAAAATATAAAATCTAAATATAAAAAATAAAAAAATAAATATATAAAATTATAAAAAATAATATACATATACAAAATAAATTAACACTATTTAATACATAAAATAATTAATACATAAACGAGACATAATAAACAAATAAAAATTCCAAAAACTACCATATATTGTACTTGTTAAAGAAATTGTAATTAATTTATTGAAATAAAATTTTTCACTATAAATTTGTGATGTGTGAATACTTATGGTTTATTAAATTTTATAATGATTTGTTTAATAAATTATTTACATAGGTATATATATAACCTTTTATTTCTTCCTTTACAGTTTGCTATCTGCTTATTTGCAATTATTGCTAGCGTTGCTGCCAAGCCAGCATTAGTGGCTAGTCCATTCGCATACTCGGCCTATTCAGCTCCATTAGTTGCTGCTTCGCCTTACACTGCAGCATACTCCGCCGCTTATACTGCTCCTTATGCAGCTGCATACTCCGCATATCCTTATTCTGCTGCATACTCTGCTTATCCTTATTATGTTTAAGAACTGACTTTCGTTATCACAAGGACCACCTCAGATACAATTCCATACTCCAACCAGACCGAATATACTCTTTAATATGTTAAATATTAATTCTAATATGATATATAATTACTGTTAATACAAATTTTATTTTTTATATCTATATTTTTTCTTAAATATAAACAATAAAAAAACGATCAATATTATAAACACTAATTCATTGGGTTTTAATTATTTTTGCATGTGATAGAAATACTAAGTACTAATTGTTTAGTGTAGTGACTATTGTATTTTTAACTTTTTGGTTAGGCTGTACTTTAGTTTTTTGCAACATATGGTGTAAAATAGAGTCTTTCGCTCTATTTAACGCCATTACTTCTATGCTCTTTGAAACGGAATATAGATGAAGATTTACAGAAAATGAGTAATATTTTGTAATTATTCTTTAAAATCAAAACTTTAATTCAACAAAAGAATACAGTTCTGTTAATAGCATTAAATAGTAGCAGTAAATTGCTTGTTGCTAGCACTATTTTTCTTTAATAATTATTTTTTTATATAAAAGTGCCTAAGAGTGTTTCTTAGTATTAATTATTTTGATGTAAACATTTAAATATGATTTGAGATCGTTCTTCAACATTTTTGACATCTCTCGTAATGAGTTAGGGACAATTAAATTAAGTACAAGTTTATAATACAGTCAAAATGTTATAGTATTTAAAAAAAAAATTTAAATGGTTTATGTTATAAAGTTATCTATAACTTATTGGAAGGAAGATTGCATAATCCAGTCTTTTTGTGCTTCTTAAACTTCTTATGATATCAATTTTTATTCTCAGTACAAAGTGATCCAAATTTGTAAATTACAAAAAATATTAATGTAAAGCAGATCGCCATAATTTCATTAAAATAAGTTGGTAGCAGTGTAAAGTACGTTTATAGTGCTTACGTCAGTTTTTTTGTAATTTTACTTTTGAGTGCTCAGCGAAAGCATAAAGCCATTATGTTAGAGCTTCTAACAAGAAACTTATCGATATTAATGGAGCATAGCGATATTTGATTGCCTTCCAGTAGCCACAATCACCTAGTTGTCATTATTCCGAATAAGACAATAGTTGCACTAACAAGAAATTGATGTCATTCTGCGATATAACATTCAGCGACTTCGATTGTTTCGTGATATCGTTAAATGGCTAAGTGTTATCGTTAGAATGAATGACGATGCTTCAGCATAAAATGTATTTGCAGTAACAATTGGAGAAATAAGATGTTTCCGTGATTTCTAGTGAAGTGGTCAAATTTAAAAAGTCGTAACTGCATCTGATGTTCGAAAGTAGAGAAGACTCGTTCACAGTAAAGGAACCCCGACAGGAGTGCTACCTTAGGATAAAACCCAATAACGTGTTGTTATGGCCAAACATACATGCAGTTTTTTTTGATTTATTGACTGTTGTGTACATTTTATATCTTTTGAATTAGATGAGACAGTTACGGAATCTGTTATATAATACTTACTTTTTCGGCGTTTATAAAGTTGTATCGTTTTTAACTGAGTCTAGTAGGCTTTGTTAAGCAACACCGACTTGCTGTCGGCAGTGGGTAATGCCAATTAATGTCAGATCATTTTTCATTTCATCGTTTCATTTTTTTCCACCAGCGAATACTGAATCATATAAATTAACAGAATCACTTAATTCTTTCAATATATGGACCTACTCTACAGCTTTTTCCACAAACGAGTATAGTGACTCTATAGATTTTTTATGGAAGCACGAAAGGTTTCGAAGACCAAAAAAGATCTCGACATTGTAGGATACCTCATATAATTAAGCTTCTTGTGTAAATTGGCAGGAACGTAGGTTGGTCACACTCTTGATCTTTCGAAAAATTCTGGTTTCATATACTTATAATTATCTGCCATCCCTGTTTCTTTTTATCAAAAGTGTTTTGTCATAAAACATATCAGAGATTCTTAAGAGATTTGTAAATCAAGATTTATTTTTGTTGGGTAAGGTTTTCTTTTCTGAACCACCTACTTAACTTTAAAAATCATTTATAAGTAAGATTGTTTTTTTCGTTGAATCTATAGGCTGATATCATTTTTGATTTTTACCTTGGTGTTTCGTGTATGTGTACCATGATAAAATATTAATTTATATGGGACAGACAAAATGCTATTTGCTTGGAAAAAATATTTAGTACAGTTTATTGTATAAAATCTTAGTACTAATACATATAAGATAAAATAACAAATAATGAGCATTTATGCAGCTGTACAGTCATTTTTAAATAATTACAATTACTCATATATCTATGTCCTCATCATATTTTATCAATAAAAACTGTTTGTTTATCTAGCATTTGTTTACGTTCTAAAAACCAGACATTAACAACGCAGCTTTTATTTAACAAAATGTGGATTAAAGACGTATAATTCTTAAATTTTTCCTATACTTAAAGTCTGTTTACAAAGTGTCTCAAGTTTCGGATTCACAGTAATAGAAATCGTATGATTATAAGATACAGATTATGTGATTCATTAATGGATGCATCGCACTTTAAAACATTTTTGTTTTATTATATAAAAAGTCATATAATACTTAATATGAAGTATCTAAGGGAAAAATTTCTTCAAGTTGAGTCACTTCAGAACTTATTTTTGTTTTAAAAGCTTTGTATATAATATTTCTAATAATAATATACGATAATGACTATCAAGTATATATTTTAGTTTAAACTGTTTAAATTACTGAAAAAAATGAAATAGAGAAGAGGAAATCAAACTGTCTATCTAATAAATATACATTTGACCATAAATTCATTTGAACAAAATCTATAGAAATGAATATGTAGAACACTTGTGTACCAGATACAAATATATAAACATATTAAAAAATTAATGTATTTTTAAGTTTTTAATTACTTTATTTGTTCAGTTCAATTATCTAATCCTTTATCTACGAAATTTAGTTTCTTCCTTTTCATTTTTTAAGAACAGCTACTGCTGGAGCAGCGGAGTATACAGCTGGTGCAGCAGCAACTACTGGAGCGGCAGCATAGGCAGCTGGAATAGCAGCAGAGTGTTGTATTGAATGGGCAATATAGCTACTGGCATATGGTGCTACATAACCGGCGCTGTAAGCAGCAGCGACTGGTGCAGAGTAAGCCAAAGGTGCAGTGTAAGCAGCAGCAACTGGTGCACTGTAAGCAGCAGCAACTGGTGCAGTGTAAGCAGCAGCAACTGGTGCAGAGTAAGCCAAAGGTGCGGAATAGGCAACAGCAGCTGGTGCAGCAGCTAATAAGCCAGGTTTAGCAGCACCCAAAGCACCAGCGAAGAGAGCCAACATGCAGACAGCGAACTGAAATTATATATATTATATATTATATATTATATGACAATTTAAAGGATAAGGAAAGAAATATATATAAAATTACCAATTTGAACATTTTGTTTGATTTTGTTTTGCGTTGAATTGTTTGTAATATTGGAAGTTACTTTAGTTTTTGATGTTGATTGCTAGCGATCATTGGGTTTTATACAGTTTTTTTAACACTATAGGTAATAGGGAATGATTCATGACATAAAATAAAAAAAAGACAATGACAGTACACGTCTACGTTACCTTTCAAGACCTTTGTTGAGTTTCAAGTTCAAAATTTTGCGTGCTTTTAATCATTAAATTTTTGGGTTTTTAGTGCTATGGTTGTGTGTCCAAAAAGACTTTTGTAAGTTTAGTACATATGGTATATGTTTTGACTGATTTTATAAATGGTTTTATTTTAACATTTTTAGTTTTTTAATTATAGTAATGATATTGATTATGGCATACTTTAAAAAGATTGTCAAATTCGGAAGTACAAACATGTGGAGTAAAACTGTTACAATGAATTGTTACATGAATTAATGCATATTTAATAGTTTTTATTAAGATCTTATAAGATAAACATAAAACATCATATATTCATCACGAAATTACTATATTATATAATTTTATATTAATATGTGTTTCTATTAAGTTTAGATTTTAATGCATAAATATTAAAAATCTAAGTCTAAGTAACAACCATCTGTTCCAAACCATATATTGAGAAAGTCACTACTTCTCCAACTTTTTCAATAAATGGTATTAAACCATATTATCATTTATTTTAAAATATATGTATTGTCTTTAAGAGATGCGAATTTTATTAAAAGTTTTATTTTTTTTATCAGCCTTCGTAGAAGAAAATAAAATATTCTTTTTAATAGTCAAGCATGGGCTAAAGACAATGCTAGAACGCAACATTCGATAGTATTAACTTTTTGAACAATGGAATAAATATTCAGGATTAAATAAAATAAAAAATAAAATATTTCCTTAAATTTTTTATTTTCAAAAAATTTTTTTAAATGTCTGTCTGGACAATCTATTTAAAAAATAAAATATTTATTAAAAATTCATATAATATAACCATATTTAAGAATGTTCCCATATTTAGGTTTACAAATGTTTCGAAAAACATTGCTGTAAGGTGAAAAATTGGTTAAAAAATTATTTCTAGGCATTATCTGGTACGATCGTATAGCCTCAGTAAAACTAACAAAAAGCCGTAGTGAAATAAAAATTGAAAAAGTGTCATGAAAGGATTATCAAAACTACATAGAAAAAAAGTTTTACAACGAGATATGAGAATATTTTTATGAGATAGAAATATTTTGTTCAATATTAGGGAACTTGATTGAACTTTTTTTTTATTTATGTCTGTGTGAAAAGAAAAGATAAGAGTGTTTATCATATGTTCTGTTCACATAATTAATATATTTTATTAATTATGTGAATGAGATTACTTTAAATTTAAGCCTTAATCTTTCTGACCAATATTAATCCGTGGAACTATGTAGCATATAACAAGCCTACTTTCTATGTATAAAAAAGAAAACTAACCTATCAAAACTGTAATGTTTATAAAACTATGGTGTTTTATTAAAGTAAGTAAATTAATTACAAAATAGAAAATAATACGTATATTTTTTTTATTTTTTAATAAATTACAAATTAGGCACTATATAACGAAATACTTTTTATAAGAAAGGATAAAAGAATTATATGCGAGCGGTTTTCTAAGAAAGGGGCACAAATGTACGATGCTGGATCCTGAAATGGAGGCACGAATCATATTAAAATAGACTGACATTCACATAACTTTATTTATATTTTTGACTTTAGAATCAGCTATTACATTCATGACACTTTGTTAGAAAACACCCTGTTTTTAATATTTGAATGCAATTTCTCTCAAAATTCTTTTATTCTTTTACTCGAAAACACTTTTAACTCATTAAATTAAATCATACAACTTATTATATGACTTTCGATTTTTTTTAAGTATTAATATACGATTAAATCTTTTGGTCTTCCATACTGAATTTTAATCATTGACCATGACTGTTTTGTATTTACGTGATTTAGTACAAAGTAATGCAAATTTTGTGCTAAGAAATCTTTTATTCAGTTTAATGACTCTTAGCTGATCGTCACCTCTGCATACTAAATAAAAATAATTCAGTATTAAAAAAAATTGATCAAGGATGTGATTGAAATTAAACAAAAAAATAAGCAAAATATTTGGCAACTATTAATAATTAACGAAAAAATTGTGTATAAAAGCTAAAATTTCGTAAAATTCTTAGCATTAACCAAAAGTAAAACATTTTGAAAGCATTTCAAAAAAATTAAACAAAAATTAAACAAAATGTTCAAATTGGTAATATAAACTATTTTATTTTTCTATCCTTTAAAAATTTATATAATAATTATATAATTTTAGTTCGCTGTCTGCATGTTGGCTCTCTTCGCTGGTGCTTTGGGTGCTGCTAAGCCCGCTTTATTAGCTGCTGCACCAGCCGCCGTTGCCTATTCCGCACCTTTGGCGTACTCTGCACCAGTTGCTGCTGCTTACAGTGCACCAGTTGCTGCTGCTTACACTGCACCAGTTGCTGCTGCATACACTGCACCTTTGGCTTACTCTGCACCAGTTGCTGCTGCTTACACCGCTGGTTATGCTCCCTATGTAGCACCGTATGCTAGCAGCTACACTGCTCATTCAGTACAACACTCTGCCGCTTTCCCAGCTGCCTATGCTGCCGCTCCAGTAGTTGCTGCTGCTCCTGCCGCCTATTCAGTTGCTTCAGCTGTGCCTGCCGCTTATTCAGTTGCTCCAGCTGTGGCTTCCGCTCCTGTTGTTGCTGCTGCTCCAGCTGTATATTCCGCGGCTCCAGCTGTTGCTACTGTTGTAAAGAAATAATTTATAGTTTTTAATTAGGCAATGACGGATCGATGAATAAAATAGAACAAAATATAATGAAATGGTCAAAGTAAAATTTATTTCTGTTTAAATTGGCTCAAAATCTAAAAGTAGTAAACTTTATTCCTTTATTCCTTTCAATGATCGCTATTTTTCTTTTTTTTTTATATTATGTGCTCCTTTCAAGAATCGCTATTTTCCTCTATTTTTTAGTATGTGCCATATTCTGTGAGACGTTTTGCTAGACTTATGGTCTTCAGCTTGTACTTAGGTAATCTTCGATTTTTCGACGATGTATTGTGTTGGTTTTCTAGAATTCCGTTTAATCGGAGTGAGCCAAAATATGCTCAAATTTATGTAAGTTAAAATCATTTATAAATTAAAAGCAAGTAAATTTGCTCCCTATACAATATTATTTCGGAGGAGATAACGTCATGCTTTCGCTATTGGAATATACAATTTAGTTGCAGACTGTACGGTTTCTTTTCCTTATACACAAATAATAGGAAATTGTGATGCCGTGAAAATTTTAAAACAGACATTTTAATCACATTCTAATCGTTCCAGAAAAACCACAGAATATTCTGTACTATTAAACTTTAACATATTCATCTCTCCTAGCATCTATAGCAGTGAACTTTCTTCTAATCTATCCCATGTGAGCACACAAATTCTCTACTCACATTTCTACAAGAGTAAACAGAGCTAAGCAGTATGTAATTCGAATTGAATGCTTAAGATTTACATATACAGCTCAAAACTTGATGTGGACGAAAATGTGTCCATCTGGTTTCTCCTAACTTGTGTTATAATTGAGTTAAAGCTCAGTTACTCGGTACGTACCATAAGAACTTGAATGAACTTAAGCGAAAGCAAAATTCACAACCAAACATACATGTGCATTTCGCTTTGACTTAAGTTCGTTTAAGTTCTTACGGTACATACCGACTAACTGAGCCTTAACTCAGTTATGACACGAGTTATAGATATAATAAGCATCTTACGGTATGTACCAACTGAGCCTTAAGTCTCCTATGATTTTGGACAGTATTTGTTGGACGATCTCTTTTGTTTACTTCTTGACTCGATTCCCCTATCGCGGGTATTAATAGCGGGTATTTATTAAAGTTCAAAAAAAAAGTTTTCTGATCCAAACAATGGGTATATTTGCTTCCGTCATATCGAGTTAACATATATTTACAACTGTGCTATAGCTGTCGGAACTTTAGGAAGATGGGTTTTTATGCGAGTGCAGAAAAACATCATTCTCTTTATTCTAGTCATTTTTTTAAAAATGATTTTAATGCGTTTAAGCAAACAAAAAAAAATATTTCCAATATTGTTGAATATTCTAAACAAAACATAAACTCATTTTCTTATTCTTACAATGGAAAAATTTAAATATAATCTAAAACATATGTTCTCATTTCTAATTACTTCACTAATTGAACTAATTTCCTTACTAAAATAGTAATTACACTTAAGTATCTATTAGAGACAAAGAGACCATGTAATTGTAGACACGTAGCGTACGCTTCATTATGCAATTACATTGACCATCCTTAAAAACCTAAAATTAATTAAAACCGTTGCATTGCGATTTTCGTTTCCATAGAGTTTTCCTTGTTTATTTGTCTAAAGTGACGGTGTGAGTCTTTAACCGCACCCTGAAGTGGTGACGTATAATTAACCGGCGGCCTTTGTATATAAAAGTATCTGTGCATTGAGTGGAAGTAGAGCTAATTTTGTTGTTATTTAATTTTTTGAATTGATCACGCTTTTAATAATTTTCTTATATTATTGTATATCTTAACCAAGTAAATAGCTCTATAGCAATTATGTATTTTATTAAACCAACTTAAATTTATTGAAGTCAACAGCAGCGGCAATAAAGCTAAGACCGCCTAAGTATTTCCCAGTGCTTTGGTGGAGAACTCGGCGGTGAACAATTTTCATTATTTTTTTTTTTACCTACGAAAGAAGTTGAATGAAAATAATTTAATTCACATTGGCGGCGGCGTCTGATTAGTTGTGTTGGCGATTTAGTTAACATCAATAAACTACGAAAGGCTTTATCATTTAATATTTTATAATAATTCTTTAATTTATTTTTAATTTAATTTTAAAGTGCAGAACTTCGCACCACAATTAATTAACTCCACCCGACTAGAAACTTCATTAAGTTTGAAGCGAAATGAAGTGTTTTGCATGCTCAATGCTTCTAACTTCACTTCACGTTTTTAAATTAAGTTTTTAACTGATTTACCTCAGATTTTTCCGAGTTATTATGGCGACTTTGTTTACTTTATTTAATGTATTAATATATGCAGAAATCTGCTGGATTGATTCGATGCTATATAATTAAGACAATATTACTCATTTTAGGCATTTTAACAGCAGGTCAAGATTTTGACTTTTAATAAATTTTCCCACATTTTGTAAATCAATACGTTAACTAATACATGTGCCACTCAAACTTGGATTTAGATTTTTGCTAATGATTATTTTCCCATCTCTTAGCAAATTGATGCCTTAGAATTCCATTATTGATATAGTACTAATTTTTATTACAGATAACATCAATTGTATGTACAGAAATCTTATTATACTGTTTTTTAGTATCATAGAAACTAATTAAATTTTAGTTTTACTTAAGTGTTCTTATGGTGAGAATCCATAGTGGTAAAAGTCTCTCAACTAATCATAGAAACTAATTAAATTTTAGTTTTACGTAAGCGTTCTTATGGTGAGAATCCATAGTGGTAACGTAAGTCTCTCAACTAAATTAGGCACATTTAAACTCAAATATTAAGTCTGATAGGTTATAGGGTTATATTACCGTGAAAGTAGCTTTGCTGAAAACGAGGTACCTTATCAATATTTCCTTCGTATTATTAAGTTCAGCTGGTCGCGTAATATAGTATAGTCTTATTTACTGACTCTTTATTATTTTATTGTAACTCAGAAATAATCACATGATAATGACTCTGTGTTAACTGTCTTCATGAGTTAAAATACCTAAGCCATAAGTCAATAAATAACATTTATTAATAAAAAAAATGAAGAGGAAATGTATAACTTATGTATTTTTTGTAATAAAAAAAATATCATAGAAGAGAAAATATATAGCAAAAATTATCAAAAAAATAAAAATAAAAAGAAAAATTTTTCATCAATTCATATAGTCCACAAAATTTGTTTATTAAATTGAAAAATCCTTTATTTTCCCAACAGATGGGTTTTGTATCTATATCTCGCGTTATATTATACATTTTTTTTCTTAAAAACTATTTATTACTGTTAGCAACAGACCAATATGTTTTAGAAATACAGATAGCACTATCTTCATTAAGCGAGGTTTAATGGCTAGCAACCTACATACTGGACATGCTAATGGATTATTAATTTAACAGCCTCACATGTGATGCATTAATATAGTTAAGTCTTACTACGTTGCGAGTCCGTACTGGCAAAATAACAGCATAAGTCCTCACATTATGTTACGTATATAAACACAAATATAAGGACCGACGGGTTATATTATTATCTTTTTCCGCATAACTCGATTTGTCTGGTCTCGTAAAATAATAAAATCTGACTTACTAAAGATATGTATTAACATCGTATATAAACACAAATATAAGGACCGACGGGTTATATTATTATCTATTCCATATTACTCGATTTTTCTGGTCTCGTAAAATAACAAATTCTGATTTACTGAAGATATGTGTCTACAACATTAATAAACAATTCAAAATATTTTGTATAAGTAGATCTTCGCATAAGCAGGTGATCTTCAGTTGACATCGTTCAACAGAGAAGGAGAAGAAATCATTTGATCTATATTAACATGCACTCGAAGCCCTAGAAAAAAATTGTTTCCGCTGACAAAAATGTGTTTTGACGCTACATGTTCCGAGTAGGAGTTAAAGGAACAGTTGTACATATACTTATACATAAATAAACAGCAATACATATGTACTAGTATATACATATATACTCACATTTATTTACATATACATATATATATACTTATAACTTACATACACTTATATATTACTTGTATATGTATATACTTTACAGTAATTTTCTTGATCTCATCTGAAATAAAGGAAAGTCGTTGCAAAAAATCATTTTTTTTGGCATTATATGTTCCAAGTAGGTACAGAATATGTGTGTGTGTGTGTGTAAAAGAACGAATACATATACGTGTATATATATACAATATTCCTTGGCGATGCTTTACATTAGTTGGTCCTACCTATTTGGATGGTATATATTACATATATATTATCTATACATTATCTATTATACATTTTCATTATATATCTATATTCTTTGCTAACAAAATATAAATATATGTGTATGTAAAAATATATTTGTGTGTATAATATGCCAGCAATATATTTTTAAATTCAGTGACAATATTTGAGTTTCTAAAGTAAAGTAGAAAATTAGTTGTAAAGTATCTAATTCAAATTTATTTATTTTTTTTTTAATTTTTCCTCTACAAAAATAACTATTGTGTTAATTATATATTCAATTCTTTAATAAATTAACCAGTTTTGATTTACTTTCATTTTATTTCTTTTATTTCGTTGAGCATTAATATGTCACATCTGATATTTCTGATATTTCCTTATTCTTGTCATATGGTTAAAGTTGGATAAGATTTTATTTCAAATCAACTTGAGAGGTAAAATGCAATACTCTGAACCAGTTGTGGGCTCTTAACTGTATAAGCAGTTCAAAGTTTTTCACTTACATTAAAACTGACATGCTCATATTTTCAAAATAACTAGGACAGAAAAGCCTAACAATTTAATACCCACAAATCCTATCATATATCGTGTGTTTGCCATTGGCACTTTGGATGCAATTATTGCCAATCATAACTCAAGATTCGAATAATTTATAATCCAAGCCAATTCAAGTCAATGCAACATAAAATATTGCGATAATGAAACAATGGGCGTTCCGCAGCAGTTCGATGGCGTTCAACTCCTCGTTTATGCGGTTCGAATTGTTTTGCGAGTTGAAAATTTGATATAATTTTTTGCTATTTTTTTTTTTTTGCCATTTGCATTATTGCAGCAAATGCTTCACGCACCACAAGATCACCTGAGATCCAAAGAATAAATAATGAGAATTTTTAACATTAAACTTACAAATTCGGCCAACACTTGTGATTCTTTTGTGTGCTGCCCCAGAGTGAAAATGCAATTGAAATATTGGCCAAAAAGCGATTAAAAAATATGGCTGTCAAGTATTTACGATATTCAATAACACGGCTAATTTGGTAATATATTGAAAAAAAAATAATTACCACAAAATTGGTTATTGTAAATTGCAGCAGTGCGTTGCTTAAAAATGCTATATGCAAAATTAATAATTGCACATGTGAGGCAACTGCGTAACATGTCGCAATTTGCATTAATTTAGAATTTTTAATTTCTACACACACTTGGCGATTGTTCCACATCGAAGTCAATCATTCTTAACGCGGGCTCCACAACCGTATCATTTTCGTTCGGATCCGGTTAAGATTTTTTTTCAAACAGCACTTATCTTAATTATAAGTTACGCTAAAGTGCACTTTACAAAATTTTATTAATTTTCAGTTCTATGAGATGATTTTACTCTGACTAAATGAAATCAAATAAAAAATTCCAAATTGTTGTAAAATTTATTGAACTAAATCAAGCATTTCAAATTTATTTGGTTTTGAATATCAATTTGCGGTTATTCATTTCTTTTCAAGGTACAATTCTTAGGTCCACTAATAAAATCGAAAATATTCACTGTTTCTATCCAATAAATTTATAGTTGATTATGTTCATAGTATATTTTTCATCTGAGCTAGTAACTCTCTAGATAAAAACCATATTTGTCATCATCTCCAATCATTGATCTGCAAAATACAATAAGCTTTTACTTTTTTAGATAAGAGTTCCTCTCTCAATTATACAGTTCTATTGAATCCGCTATTAGCAAATTTTTGATTAAATTATTAGCATCACATGCTTCGAGAGATAAAATTCTATACTATATATTACCATATCACCCCATAAGTTTCCGGCCTAGCTAAAGGAAAACAAATTTTCTTTTAAAAATTCGATATTATTCATCCTTTAAAGGTGATACATTTATTCTAACGTTTCTATCTCAATCTCGACAATCATTTCACCATTTAAACAAAATTGTCATCCTGAAGCATATTTTGATGTTTGCAAAATATTATTAGTCGTTGGAGTCAGATATGGAGAGTATGGTTTGTGAAAAAGCAGAAGAAAAGTGACTCATTCAATATATAACCACAAAAATCGGTATTTTAGCTTGTAAAGAACTCATTTTCATAGACTTGGCATCCAGTTTGGAAGCAACTTACGAATGTTCAAATTTTTGGATAAAATTGTAAATACATTACCTTTTTATGTCTTTAAGGTATCAGTTGAGGTCTTATGCTTCACAAGGAAAAGAGAACTACAGTCAGTAAGTAAGTGAGGTGTAAGTTATCTCATGTATCACGAATAGATTCATTCTTTTCTGATTAAGATTCATTTTTATAAGCTTTTGTCCTATACGTCCATCTATTGTAAATATCTATCAATAATAAATATATATATCAATTTTTTCGAAAATATGGAAAAAAGGCGCTACTATCACGTTTAAAAAATATTTACTATAGACTATGTTATACCATATTTAAATATTTTGTTTAAGTATCTTTGTCTTGCTCTTTTTTTGCGATGACTCGCATATCGATAATAATCGTGGGATACGCTTCTAAACTGAGAAGCCACTTTGTAGAGTTTTATGTTTTTTATACCTGGGAATATCGGTATTAAGGGTTCCTTATTCAATCGGTATACTCGCCCATTGGACAGTAAATTAGTGCAATTTAATATTTAAGTCTTTATACGGCATAAATATATAAAGAATTAATAGAATAAAGTATGCTATTTACAATATTCCATATATTGTTTATTTATTTGCTATCAAAGAAAACTAAAATATAAAACTACTACTCTACTTATAAAGTTATGTGCCCTTGGTTATGTGTCTTAATAGTTCTAAAGCTGATTAAAAAAATTGTAAATACCTTAAGTATAAAGAACAAAAAACAAACTCTTTCATGGTCTTGCCAGTTCAGAATTTTATAGTAAAAAGTTGTTGAAAAAAAATCTCATACTAAAATATATAGTAGGATCACTAAAAATATTGCCCAAAGGAAACTATCTAGAAATAAATGAAAAAATAAATGGAAACTATTTGCATCTTTCTGATGCAAATATGTTCAGAATTTTATAGTAAAAAGTTGTTGAAAAAAAATCTCATACTAAAATATATAGTAGGATCACTAAAAATATTGCCCAAAGGAAACTATCTAGAAATAAATGAAGAACGACTATAAAAATTAAACAGTATAATTAATTTCTAGAATTTCTTTCACAAAATCAACGTATTAGTTAAATCCTCTAATGACTTATTAATCCAAGGAGTTAAACTATATAATAGACCTCAAAACACTGAGTTTCAATCATAGTTTTACTTATTTTATTTAAAAAGGAAAAAAATGTTCTTCACTAATTTTTTTATCTTCTTTTTTTAAAGATAGTCTCTTAAATTAAATAAATAATTTTACTTATTTTAATTAGTTGATGAATATGTTTGTCCAAAGTTCAAAATACTACACCATATGTTTTACCTTATAATAACTTCCTTATTTACTTAACATAATCACTTTTTGTTACTCCGTCGACTTTAATGTTTTGCTCTTAATCCACATCAGAGGAGTGGCGGCAACAGTGGCGCCCATTCGTCCAAAAGGTTCAATAGGTTTAAAATGAAACACTTTGACTTCGCTTGTAGTGACTGTATGAACTGTTTATCGACTTGTAATCGATTTTGATTCAATTTACTGTTTTCCAGGAAAGTAGCATTGTACTCGATCAAGTGTATTTGTCCCAAAACGCGATTATGTACCCACTGCACTGCACACGTACTGCAGCGAAACAATACGAAATCTTTCGAAGCACGAACAATCGGATGCATATGATGAGATATCGGTCATGCTAGCACATAAACAATATTTAAAATATTATAATATGATTAAAATAAGGCAAAAAATTTATTATAGAGCAGAGAACCAACTACATGAATAGTATTGGCCGGAGCAGCTGAGTTTGTTGCAACCAACCAAACCTACAAATGCGTTTCAATCTCACAAGTGAGTCTATGCGGTGCTCTGCTCTTCGTTAGAAAAAAAATAGCTTTTTGTGGTGCTGACTTCAATAAAAGTAAAAGTATATTTCTACTTAAGTTGCAATTGCAAATCTTTATGCTTCTGAGCTAAGTTTTTGGTATAAAAGCATGCGGCACATGACAGTTGAGCAATCAAATACACAAGTTCTTGTGCACAGCATAACACTCCCGGTGAAAAACTAAACAATATAAAAATGTTCAAATTCGTAAGTATTTGCAGTTGCCAGCTCTATACTTAATCCAGGACTATTCATCTAACTATAACAATTTATAGGTGATCGTTGCTTTGGCTCTTGTCGCTAGCGCTACAGCCGCACCAGGATATCTTGGCGGTGGTGCTCTACTTGGTGGTATACATGCCGCTCCTGCTTTGTCAGTTGCACATGCTGCACCGGCTATTTCCTATGCAGCCCCAGCTGTATCCTATGCAGCACCAGTAGCGAAAATTGCAGCTCCAGCGATTTCGTACGCAGCACCAGCTATTGCGCATGCTCCACTCGGCTTAGGCTATAAATCATATGCTGGTCCAGCTTTGGCTCCACTTGGCTTAGGTTACAAGTCATATGCTGCCCCAGCCCTTTCATATGCAGCACCAGCAATCGCTCATGCTCCATTGGGACTTGGTTATGGTTACGGACATGGTGCTGCTTTAGCTCATGGTTGGTAGACGTTGAATGGTGTTTTGTGTGGCAATGCAATTTTGGGTAATTTGTGATGCTTATCGTCGTTTGTTAAACTACCAAATTTCGAATCCGTTGTTAAAAATTCCAATTGTCTTTCTTAATAAACTATGTGACCATTTGGAGTGTTAAATTTTGTAGTTTTTTCTCTTAAATATTGCAGAAGTTAAAAAAACGGAATCATTTGAACTTAATCTAATTTCAAAAAATATTACTGTTCTGGGTTAGTTATTGACACACACACATCGTCTTTAAAAAAATAGGATAGGGTAGGAACTTGTAAAACATTTATAATTTTTCCTACATGGTGATAGTTATATCTCAAATATATAGAACGACAAGCAACCTAATAGGAAATTAAAGAATAATCGCAATCTTTCACATAAATTATGACAAAGAAACTATTTTCTTAATATAAACTATTGTTTTCGGTAGAGAGGTTTTTGAACAGGAGTGAATTGCAACAACAAAATTTTATTATTTTTAATTAATTGAATTTTTATGAAACCATACAACTGTTTCGATTATTGCCAAACACCTATCATAATTTTTTTTGACAGTTCATCCAGTTGAAGTAGTTAACTCTGGTGACTATATCTTATTCTACTTCAAAGGAGCAAGGCATGACAAAAAAATAAGAAAATGGTTTTGATTTTTCTGTCTGATTATTATTATGATGCACGGTCTTTAAGGAATTTGTAATTTAACCAACTGTTCTTCAATATGCAAGAAGCCAGTAAGCTTGTTCTTGTAGTGTAGAGATATTTTAACTGTACAGCATTTTGTTAAAGACATATTGACTTCCCGCTAGTTTATCACCTCTTTGATATTCTTCAATATTCCTCAAACTTACAATGTCAATAAAAGCTGAATTCAGAAGTCTGTATTGAAATCTAATTAAGAGAAGAGCAATATTAGATCGCAGCCAATACCTCAAATTTAAAGTATAACGGTTAAAAGTACCAGAATTGAAAGAAAATTTTAATAGAAGCAGAAGAACTATATAGTGTTCTATTAATGAAGACTTCAAGGAATAATGACTATATAATTAGATCTTTAATTAAGGAATTAATTAATACTTTAAACGTTAATTAGATATGTTAATTATGTGGCTATTAAGATCTTAATTTTTATATCAAACGAAAGTAAGCAATGCCAATTTGAAAAAAAATCTTACCAAAAACTTTCCCTAATAACATTTAACTGATATGTATTCTTAATAGCAATTATTAGATGATTGAATGATATGAGTATGCTAAGGGAAATTTTAAATTAGAAAACTTTCAAGAACCACTTATGATGGCAGTATACATTACTTTGTACCATTTCCTATCCCAATCAGTTAACTTCATTATTGGACATGAAATTTGAATAATTACGAGCGAGCAATATATAGTACAACCGGATTAGGTTTTCTGAATCAATTTCTGATTGAGTGTATTTATCTTCAAATAATAATTATAATTATTTTTCGGTAGTCCATTCAAGATAAAGATTATATGAGTAAATCAACAAACTAAACGAATGTAGCTGAATTTTTTTCCCATTTAATAAAGAATTAATAACACTCTAGAAGTCTCTTATTATGCTTGTCCTAATGAGAGAGAGAGAGAAGTAGGTTCATGTAGTTGAAAATATGTTATACAAATATTTGGATGGAGCCATATTTACTATTATAATATTATATTATTTTATTTTATCGGTAATTTTAATAAAAGATAGTATATATATTGAATATATTTATTCAATGTGACTGAAACACTTTTTTATTTACCACACATATGAATGTGTCATTTATTTATAATATTCCAATAAACGCAATATTATTGCGGCAGACTCATATAAAGTTTATAATTTTCTTTAGTTTTATAAAAGAATAGTAGATACTGTTTATGATTTTTTATAGTTTCATAAAAAAAAAATAGTAAAAATTGTTAGCAATTTTCAAGTAAAATTATAAAAATATTAAAATTTAATAAAATACATTTAGCACTTCGCACCACTAAAAAACCAGTCTTCCATGAAACCAACTAAACGCCTAGTCCTCCTATTCGCTTGCCAAACGCTAGGCCACTATTACCAGCTGCTTACCATATTCCATGACCATAGCCATGTCCATAACCACCATATAAGCCACCCAAACTGTGTCCATAGCTTAAGCCATGACCATATCCTAATCCATGACCTAATCCATAACCGTATCCGTGACCTAAACCATAGCCATAGCTATGTCCAAGTGAAATTGCAGGGGCTGCAATAGTTTTAGTAACAATTGGTGCTGAGATTGTCTTCGTAATAATTGGAGCAGCAGAAATTTTCGTTATAACTGGTGCAGCTGATATTGTTTTTGTTACAATAGGTGCGGCAACTTTTGTCACAATCGGTGCAGACACAAGTCCATGACCTAAACCATCATAATGACCCAAAGCACCATAATGTCCAAGGCCACCAATTAATCCATGTCCATATCCACCATAGTGACCCAAATCATGTCCCAGACCATAACCACCATAACCACCATAGCCACCAATGAATCCAGCTGAAGCGAGTTGGGAGCAACAGAAAAGCGAAATTGTAAGAATTAGCTGCAATGAAAATGTTTAAAATAAATAAAATTGAATTTTATTAATTTAAATTTAATTAATTAATTCAATTTAAGAACTCGTAAGGATTTAATAGTATATATAAACATATATAATTTTATACTAATTATTTAAGAGATTTCTAAATAATACGCGTTTTTATGTTTATTATTGTAAAATAATCAAAAATATTTTATTTATTGCTAAGTAGAACCACTAATATATTCTGTTAAAAATATCTGTTCTTGGAGGCGCAACAAATGGGATATCGGTTGCGTCTCAAAATAACATATCAATAAAAAGGACATGTCTAAGCTTCTTAATAAAATTCAAAAATATTTTTTATAGTGCAGCGTGGTAAGGATGTCCTCAAAAGCTGACATTCTGAGCTTTATTCGAAGGGCAAAATGTCTTCTGTTTAGTTAGGGTTAGTTCGAAGCACTTAAGAACAGCCATGGCCCAAGTGCTGTGCTTCACTAGTAGCTAGTATCCTGTATATATTATATGTAATTAATGCAGAGACCTCACAGCAACTTTGTAGCATACACATGTGGCTTATCTGCAGAATGGTTCAAGCTTGAAAATATGTACTGTGTATTGTGAAGACGATTAAAAATAATGCTACAACGAAATATATGTAAGAAATGACAATCGGAGAAAGAAGTGAATGTGGAAAGGCTGTGTCTTCTGTTAGGAATTTAAAAAACTATGGTATAATCAAAATTCAAAAACGGAGTTGACGAATATTCCCAGAGCTAACCTTAATATATGTTTTTTCAGCACAAACCAGTCAATAAGTAGTTATCAATCGTCTCTGCCCGAGAATATAAGTATGAAGCTTAATAATTAATATTTGAACTTTATATATTTGTGTCTTGTATTTGGTAATATGATATATATATCACATGGAAAAATAGTATTAATAAAGTTCGAAAGTGCGAGAGATAGGAAGATAAATTTTAACTCGAGAACTGTTTACTACAATTTTAAAAAGAAATAATTAAATGTTATTTGTAAGCAGTTTACTGAAGATATTGGTTGTTGTATATTATAATATATAGTATACATACTATTACATTTAGTGTAAAAGAAAAAAAATATCACAACTAGAAACTTTAATTCATAGTAGTATAAAGAGAAGTTTATTTCAAAGAAAACAAATCTATAGTGGATACATATAAAGTCTACTAAGCATTTAAAAAAGTTCTATGGGAGCTCTATTGATAAACATTTTTAACTTCAGCGGGTAGGGATTAGAAATATATGTGACCTGTCCAGGTCGAATAGTGGACCTGGTCACATAACAAATACCTGTCACATATCTTATGTTTATGCTAAGAAGGTATAGGTCTAAAAGAAAATCAGTATTGGTTATAATTATTTTTATTAATTCTTACTTAGAAAACTTATAGCAAAGTTTTAAGACATTCTTTTTGTTGTTGTTTTTTCTTGTTTTTTGATACTCATGCTGATAATATTTACATGAAATGCACACTTACGGAATAAAAACGCTGAGTTCACCCAAATATTAAAATCTATTTACTCACTAAGAAGGATAGCCTGATTATTATAAGTACAGTTAGTGTCAAAGTTCCAAACCTAAGAAAATGCGATTTAGTTGATTGTTTCAAAAACTGAATCTTTTGGTTCTGAACATTTTTTTTTGCTAATTTATTTTTTTTGTAACCAACTAGGCGAACATTTGTTACTCCCCTTGTAGTACGATTCTCCTAAAATATTAAAACCGCTTTGTTATACTGATTTGTATATTGTGAGAAATACAATAAATTCATTAATAAACAAAATGAAGAGAACACTTGGTTATTGATTTTCTTAAGAATGTCTGAAATGCTCTGTGGTATGTCGAAATAGTATTTACGGATTAACACAGAGATCTAGGGATTATTATGTGGATGCCTATAATATGGAAAAAAATTAAAACTTTTCAGCAAGACATTTTATTTAGGCACACAAACACTGCAGCTGAAGGGTTATGTAATATATGAAGATATATGTAAAGATATATAAATATACAGTGATAAAGATATATACATATCTTTATATGGATATATATAAGGCGCTATACTCAACTCTCAAATTAATCCTAACAGAAATAAATTTGTCAGTTGTTTGTAATATTATATATCGAAGTTTTTTCTAATGACATCGATCAGTAACACAACTATTCATGTTATGTTAACCCACACTAAGTAGTAAAAGTGCTGTTTGACACCAAATCATATATTAAGAATTATAATCTGATTATGATTTTTATAGTACACACTTATTTTTTAAAAAGAGGATATGACGTTTGCAAAAGTCTTATATATATATTTTAATTGATGGAATATTATATTATTTTTATTTTATAATTATAAACGTCAACTTAAAGTATATTGCGATTCTTATTTAATTTTATATTAAACACATAAAATCACCCTTAGAATCACACACATTTTATTGTTACAAGTTATTTTTTTTTATAGTACACTAGTATTGAATTCTAATACATGCTACTTTATAGCACTAAAGTAGCATTTTTTATTTGCAGTCCGAAGAATATCCTGTTTATATCCTTTATGAAATATCACTTTGTAACTTTTTGATTTTATGCACTTTAGTGAACTTACCAACTGGAACATTTTGTTGATTTAAATTTTTTTTGAGGAGAATTCACTTGACTTGTTCGAATAGTTAAGATTGCGGTGATTGTAGACTGTGTTGCATTTACTCGATGACAGGCGGTTTTTATAGTCAAGAAACTTCAACAGAAGCCAGCGTGCAAACGAGAAATTAATGCGCTCTGCTTAATTGCACAAGAAATGATTTTTTAATGAAAAATTTGTTGTAACTCAAAAGTATTTTTATATAACGTTTCTTATTGTATTTAATATTGGTATGTATTTTTTTTTTTTCATTAAAGAACGCTGAGATAAAGTGTGAGGCATTTAATTGGCAACTTAATAATTGCGCTCAGGTTGTCACATTGTGCTGAGCAATTATAGACGCCGCTTGCGTACCACACTGGACATACTGCCAAGATCGGCTAAGACCGCATTTTGCAAGTGTATCGAATTCAGTATGAACAAGAAGTGCATTGCTCAATGCGACAAGTCAACGAAATCATTTCGAAGTACACAAAATTTTAGTCAAAATCATATGAACCAGTTAAGATTATTATTTATATTACTATTTATCAATGCAATCCATTAAATGCACAGTTGTATAGTTTGTTGTATAGAGCTCAGTAGAGCTCTGAGCTCTCCGTATCGAAATTGGCAAGCATTTTAAACTGTTTATGAATCAACTTAATAAGTTTTCAGATACTTTTGAAAAGTTACGCACTCGATGGTAAACTGAACATAAATCGTACATCCAAACATTGTCAGTTGATAAATTTTTGTAATTTTCGCATTGCCCGAGTTTTATATTTTCCTGCTTTTATTTCAGTTTTCCTTTGAAAGGCGAGTGTAACATTTTTCCACTTCCATTGATGTGAGTGACTCTGGTCTTTCCTTTTCTTCACATTTATTTTGTGTTTTTGGTTGCTTGTCACTTGGAGTTACGCTCTAAAGCCATTAGGCATCTGGCTCTGACAGGCGCTTTGCTCAAAACTGGGTGTGCTATGGCAAATGTGTGGCAATATTTAAGAGGTGCAAATCTCTAAAACTTACCGGTAACGTGCAATTTTCTATTTTGGTTTCTTGTATTAATATTGTATAATTTTTGAATCTAGTTTTGTTTATAAGTTTTTTTTTTTCATGCTTAAAAAGACATTATAACATAATTATTTTAATATACATTTTGGTTTCAATTGTAGGTAAAATGAGTTACGATTGAATTTAATTAAGTAGAATAAAGAATTAATATCTTAATTTGAGGTCTTAATTACTTTACATAGTGCGTTTTTTTAAATCAAATCATATATCAAGCTATGCTTGACATCACAACTTGGTTTTACAACTTGCAGTGAAACTTGATCTGCATACTGCTCTCCTGACAGTGTTTAGTTGAAAAAATCAGTTATCCACTCAACGTGAGTTGGACTATTTTACCTTAGGTTAATTCACAATACTATGTTTGTATATTTTTCACAACATTTTATACCGAGTCTATTGCTACACATAAGACGACTATTTGTAGCCACACTCGGCCTAATAACGCAACAATTTTATCATATCCCTGAAAAGCAGGTGTGTACATAAGCATTTTCCGGTTGTTTTTAATAAAGAGAAAACATTATATATTATGTCGATGAGTTTGAGTTGGATCATCCTGCAATTGCTCGTCTTCCCACATGTCGAGACCATGTCTCACATGTGTTCTTTTTCAGGCACAAAATTCAACAAGATCACTGAACGATTAAACACATGTGCTAGTTTTTGGCGGATCCACTTATGTGCGTTATTTTCGCTGGCGACATATCTTAGTCAAATCGGAAAAACACACACCTGCTAAATAGACTTATTAAAGTTTTTAGTCTCTTTAGTTATTACCTGAAGATTCAAACAAGTTGATTATCATTAAGTTTTTGCCAACGTCGGATCACATTAACTTTTTGAAAACTTCGGAATAGTATAGGAGCACAAATATCCTGTAAAAACTTAATGCATATTGCAATATCATGTTCATCAACTTAACATGATTGGGACGATGATAGAGGTGACCAGCCTCAAAATCAACGATGAATAGAATATTCACTTAACATTTCCTCTAAAACTAGCTGTCACACTACAATAATTAATAAACAAAAAGTACCCCTTAACAACTATGTAAAATACTGGGAATATATCCATAGAAAATATTGACCTAGAACAAGCATATAGAGTAGAGTGATTCGAAAAAAAAAAATTTTGCAAATCAATTTATCATTTTTCAAGCAAAATATTCAATTCGGCATGAAGTGGTATTGTCAACTGTAGGCTTAACAGCCAGTTAAATCTTATTTTCTGATTAAATCTGATATTTTCACAATACATATTTATAAATATTTTTGTTGATTTATCGGTTAACTTTTTATTTATGACAGTTGTAGGATCGTTAAGTCGAAGAATACTAATCTTTGCAGACATTGGTATGCCTTTGGTTTCAATTAAACTGGCTATATGAAGAGCATACGTATAGTTTAAGATATATACGTGTAGTTGACATATATATTGGGTGCGACTCTTATAGTCAAAAAAGTATAAAGCAAATCAATTCGCATAGACAAGTTTTCACTGTCCAATGCAATTGTTATATTAAAGGATGACATTTTATAAAAAAAAAGATTGACGGGTACGTAGATGTAGGGTTCATTTAACGATAATTGTTATGTCACTGAGTCAAATGATCGACGCATTTTGAGTTTTTCCCTTCCGAAATGATATATTATATATATAAAATTACATTGTATTAAAATAAATTATGATTTACTATACTGGGTCATGAATAGGATTATTTACTGTCAATTGATGGAGGTCAACTTATTTCAGTTTTAATATTTAATTTTTTGTGGTATCGCAATGGGTATGATCAAGACCTTCCTAACCTACGTCTTACATTAGATGGCCTGTCACTGTGATTCACCAATTAATGTAAGGCAATAACGGTAATTATTTTAAAAAATTTCGTTTAAGATTTCCTAAGTAAACTGCACATATGCAAAAATTTTTAAAATATTCCCAATGACATTCCCTTTATGACAAACGACTTGGGAAACTTGATTAATCTAAAAGTTCTGTATTCATTATCTGTAAAGTAGTTTAAAAATACGATATAAATCTTTATATATATATATATATACAGAAGAGTATACAAAATATACAAAAGACTTGCTTTATTGTGGATAATAATATTTTATTTGATTAAATATAGGATAATGTTGAATTGATCAAGTATTTGTAATATAGAGATTATATATAGTTATGTAATATATTTGGATATAATAATAATAATTTGTTTTAATAATAGTAATTGTTTATATTTAAATTTGACAATATGAAAAAAATTGCAAAATTGTTTTATAATTGATAAAATATTGTTTCACTATATGTGAATAATTGAAATATAAGAAAATTAATTGTTGGAATATTTATGTGATATATATATGGTAAAAAAAGTAATAATAATAATTAGTCATAATTGTAATTCCCCAAATAGTTGCAAATTGTAATGTAAGCGTTTAAATATTCATATAATATATGTTAATTAAGTAATATAAAGATGATAATTGGTTATATATTTATAAATTTTATGTTGATTAAGTAATATAAAGATGATAATTGGTTATATATTCATATAATATATGTTGATTAAGTAATATAAAGATGATAACTGGTTATAACATTCATATAATATATGTTGATTAAGTAATATAAAAATGATAATTGATTATATATTTATATAAAATAGTTGAAAAAAGTTTTAATAATTGTTCATAATAAGAAATTGTAGTAAAAAAATTTTATTTTTTATTTAACTTTTTATTTTTTTTGAAATGGTTTTGACTTTTCTGTTTCATCGACATTACCATCATCAGCGTCTTCTTCTTCTTCTTCGTCATCATCATCGTCATCATCATCATCTTCAAACTTGAATCTGAATTCAACAACAACTTCAGCGTAGTCATCTGCATCATTAAAATTGTGAACCGAAATCTTCTTGGATGCATTTTCAACATCCTTAGTTTGTATAACTGTTATAGGATTTTCGTTCTTTTTTTTAGGAATAAAAAATTTCGGCAACTTATTATTCATTTCCAAATCTCTAATTATTTGATAGAGATTTTCATAAGTTTCATCGATAAGTCTTTGAGTTTCCAATTTCTTTTTAATGCTACGCTCTTTAGTCTCAGATGGTGGTCTCATGCGCTTAAGTTTTTGTTTTTCATTTCGAATACTTCTTTGTAGCATTATATTCTCATGAATCAAATCAACTTTTCGCTCGAAATCTTCAGCAGCTGTCAAAATTCTTGATAGTTCATCATATTCCTTCAAGACTTTACGCAATCTCTTTTTTTGCTTTTCAACTTCCTTAATTTTAGCCTCGTCCAATTCTTTACGGGCTTTGATATCAAGTTTCTCAAGCTCTTGAGTGATTTTCATCATTTCTGCCAAAGCCGATTGAGTAGTTGTTGAAAAAGGACGAGGTCTTCCATGAGTATGGAAGTCAAGTGGACCAAAAAATGGCAGTCCTAAATCTTGTTCTGTTTGCACATAACGTTTAGTTACTTCTTCAGAAAAAGTTTCCTTGCTCTTACTAAGTTTCTTTAAACGCATAGCTGGAATAGGAGAGAATGGTGAAGGACCATCATCTTCATTAGTGTTTCGTTTATATTGATAGAAATATGGTATATTCATGGGAAGAGGAGCAGCTGTACGTGAATTGAAATTTTTGAAAATGTTTACAAATATTTAGAAATATAAAAATTTTAGGTAACGATTCGATAGCATTCATATTATTATTTAAAAAAAAATACTTACATGGTCTTTCCATTTCACGTCTAGCCATTTCAAGTTTAAGTCTTTCCTCAAAAGTTAAATTAATGTCATCCACATTAGATTCAGTTTTTGGAGGATCCTTGTTTTCGCCTTTAGTTCCACCAAATTTATTTTTTTCGGTTGATTCCTGGAGTTGAGGATCTGCCTTATCGCTTTTAGGAGTTTCAAGTTTAGTTTCCTTAGTAGATCCCTTTTTATTTTTCGGTGCTTTCTTTTCAAGTTCAGTTTTCTTAAGTTTTCCT